CGCGTTCGGAGGCGGTTCAGCACCCCTATAAAAGGGATGCGAGCCTTTCCGAAAAATTTGTTCATTTTCTCTCTTTCTCTCACGATCTTGCCTCGATTTCCGTGCCCGTTCAAACCCGAAGCTCTGGTCTTTTTGCTCAAGTCCCGAGGGTCGATTTTACTCCCGAGATTCCCGAGAATCCCGAGAAAAATCCGTTTCCCGAGACGAAACTCTGCCCGGTTTTCGATCTCGCTATCTTCAAACTTCCAAGTGAGTTCATACCCCTTTATTCAACCTTTGAAATGCTTTTAAATGTTTTAAATACTTTATGGGGGGGGGGAATACAAGTTAAACACTTATAGTTATTGCTTCGATCACATGTGATTGCATTAATCACATGTGATTAATAACTAGGAAACCAATGATTTTATCACTGTTCAAACTGTTTTACTTCAAAATGTTTTACAAACTCTTTTACTTATCAAATGCTTTATTGTAAACTTTGTTTTACTACCTATAAATTTGCATGCCCATATATGTATAGCTGTATAAATAATGTTTAAAGGGCTTAGGAAAGCCACCTGTCCTATTTCCTTTTCCTCGATTTGGATGTGGTCTGGTGGAATTTCGGGTGACCATCCGAGGGTCGTTTCAATATTAGTTATATATCATATATACATGTATTGACATAAAAGTACTTCCATATTCATACTTATCAGCACCTCGTTAGTAAGTTACCATCGGGGTAACACGGGATCATACTACTACAATTTCTAGATCAACGAGTCAGTTCATTCAGGAGTCAATACTTATTACTAAGAGAACATATACAACGATACTAGAACAAGTAACATTATATTGCATATACACGAATACGTTAACAATTGTGATCCACTGTATGGGAGCATGTCTTAATTGACATGACCCGAGTTGTAGCCAGAGTCTCTTGGAGGGAGAGCGTGAGTTTGCGTATAGATCTATACTGGATTGACTATCCTACACCTCGCTGCTAGCTACAGTGGGACCGACAGGTCTGCGGGTGCCAAACGTCATACCTTATTTTTCGACTATACGTTGTCGATGTTACCAGTCGATAGTATGGTGCAATTTATCACATCGATACCTTAATATAAACCCGGTTTAAGGTAGTTAGTACAGCAGTAGTTCATATAAAACAAAACTACCGTACTACAATAATTTACCCATTACATTTTGGTGATAACCTCACTTAAACTTTAATGTACAAACTATATTTTGTTAAATGATAGTTACACTTGGGAAATTACACACTTTTACATCAAACGAGCATACAAAACAGTTAAGCCTTGGTAGAGGGCTACTTTAACAGAAAATATAGGTTTTTCTGAGAGATTCAAACTTTTACAAACATACATTTACAACCTTGCACAGGTTCAAACTTTTGATAACAAACCTCGACACTAAAATATTATGAATTCACCAGCTTAATGCTGATAAACTCTTTCAAAATAACTTGTATTCTCAGGTCATCAGTAGACAGGTACCGATGCTAGCTTTTGAGAAGATGGAGCGCATTCAAGACTCATCATACTATTTTGATTTAATTATATTTTTGGTGTCTAAAACTGTACGGAACACGCTTGTATTAAAATTTTATATTTAATGCAATGGATGATGTTGTTTGCTTATTTACATTTACTGTGTTGTGATACTTTACATGACGTCCTCCGCCCAGAACGTTTCCGCCATTCTTGGTTTTGG